ATGTGGTCTTATGTGTCCCCGCCCCTTAATGTTGATTGGTTAAACAGTCTACGTCAGGGGGGCAAGAGGGGGGTCCGATGTTAACTCGTCTGCCCTCCCCCGAAGGCGTGGTTTCGTTTAGTGTACACATTGAAGTGGCCCCGCCCCTTAATGCTGATTGGCTACTCATCACTCATGGTCCTGTAACTGCCGCATGTTCGTGTTCCTGCCGCGGTGCATCGGAAAGTACCGGGTTTTTGTTTACATTTTGCCGCGGTGCATCGGAAAGTACAGGGATTTTGTTTACATTTTGCCGCGGTGCAACGGAAAGTACCTGGTGTTAACGAAAAGTTCCGGGGTTTGTTTACATTTCTTGCTGTATGCACAAAATCTGCAAAAGTACTGCCCTGCTTCGGGTTTTCCAAATAACCTCCGGGTTTTCAGAATAACCACCGGGTTTTCCAAATAACCGAAGACCATTAAAACGAAAAAGTACCGGGATTTTTAAATTTAATTCCTCATTTGCGATCAATACTGTGCTCCTGAAGGTCGTTCAAGGTACCGGGTTTTCCTGATAACCGAAGGCCATCAAAACAAAAGTATCGGGTTTTCCTGCTAACCGAAAACCATTAAAACGTAAAGTACCGTTTTTTTTTAATTTAATTTCTGATTGCGGAAATATCTATTGATTGGGCTGGAATACTGTGGGTGGTAAAATGGTGCGTCTTGAAGACTTTACTCATGACCCTTAGAAAACTGCCATCATCCTTGTTAGCAGCAGTAGTAGTAGTAGTAGTAGTAGTAGTAGTAGTAGTAGTAGTAGCAGCAGCAGCAGCAGCATTATTGTGAAATACTCGTTCCTATGTCACATTTCCTTTCTACTCATATCTGTAATTGACTTACCTGTTGGAATATTTTAATGATACATCAATCACGGATAAATAGGTTCAGGGAAGGGAGCATACACAGACAGCAATGAGATCTCATAACCCTGTTTTAAAGGAAGAAAGTTGTGACACGAGCTGATAAAATATTCTTGGGCTATCAGCAATGTCTGATGATAGGGAGAGAGATGGCCCCTGCGACATCGGTGATACTTAACCAATTGACACAGCTGAAAGCCAGAGCAGATTCCATCCACAGTAGCTGCCATGAAAGCTTCAAATCTTATGTTTAATGTGAGGTTTACACTGTAGATAAAAGATAAAGTAGGGTAATTTTATTTCAGATGTACACAGTATTTGTTACATGCCACAGAAATTTCAAAATGTGACTACCCATACATGAATAGACAGCTTATAGCATTTTCTTTTTCTGAACTGCTATAAAAAACTGGCACTTTTGATATAATATCACTGTTAGAGACAAGTTATGGCTGCCATAGGTATTCTGTGTTCCATGCAGTGATGTGATACAATGGCAAGTGTGCTCTGTATGCAGGACACCAATGGAGGTTAAGCAACAAATATTTAAATATTGATTTCAATTAACATTATGAAATTTCCAATTTCACAGGGTGGGATATTTCATTGGGAAATGTATGTCTTCTCCTGGTGACAGAGCTTGTACAAGGGCATGCTGAAAGTAATGGCTCCCAATTTCTTTTCCACAACAGCAATTTCATTCATGCACAGCATCCTAATTCCCCCTTCTTCTGACCTCTCTTGATGGGCCAGCAAGCAGTTCATACTAAAGTAAGTGTTACAGGTCTAAATTATTTGACAGCATTAAAATGAAACATGTTTCGAACTTGCATGTTCGCCACTGTCTTATGGAGGCATTACTTTTCAGCATACCCTTCCAGGATGAATGCTGCTAATACCAAAGCCCACCAGTGGACACATCATGATCCACAGTCATATACCCAGTTTTGTCAAGATCTGGTTTGATATCTTTCTTCCACCACTTTTGCTTTCCCAAGTGGATGCCTTCCAGCATGTTCCAACAAAAATATTGTACGTATTTGTGTTCAATTCTTTATTGGAGTCCGTCATAACATAACAGTCAAGGTTAAAATTACCCAGCTATATGTTTCGGCATTTTAAAGCCATCATCAGGCAAAACACATGATTACAGACACAGTTAGTAATCATGTGCTTTAAAAAGCCGAAACACGTAGCTAGGTAACTTTAACCTTGACCATTATGTTGTTGTGTTATGACAGACTCCAATAAAGAATTGTATATAATAACATAATGGGATGCACGGAAAGGAAAAGTATTTGTGTTCTCCCATCTCAGCTACAACTCCATGATGTAACTTTCCTAACAAAACTGGAAAGCTGTATAATCATAAAGTTCCTTGGTGGGGGCATTATGTGCTATAACACTGTGTTGTAGTCTCGCAGGCGGATACCAGGGTTCTGGTGAAACACACCACGCTGCAGTCTGATAGGTGGAATGTGTGTCTCCATCTTTAGGATGACTCCAGATATCAGACATTTAGATTAAGTAGGTATAGATGTTTGAAGTCACAATATGAAATCAGGTCACCCACAAACAGCAGTTTCATTTGGCTGATGATACGGGATATGATACTGTGTAGGTTGGTAGAAGTTTACTGACATTTCAGAGGAACCCAATGCCTTCAGCTTCAATTTTCCATCCTGAAGATGGATGAAGTACATTTGTCTGCAGTGTTGGTTAAAACAAATTACAGAGCATTACATTTCAGAAGACTTGTCCTCAATAATATTGCGGAAAACTCAGGATGTGATAGAATGTATGCAGTAGAAGTCTACCCTTACGAAGGTGGCAGTATGTTCCTCCAAAATTTTGGCGGACTCCTACGCACCTACACAGTGTCACTGCCAACTTCCTCATGATCACTGTCATGAATATCTCAAATCTTGCACGTAACACTGGTGCTTGTAGATGACTGTACTTCCATTATGAACAAGAAATATTGACACACTACAACCATACAGTAATTGTGATGTACTGATTAAACTGAACTTTGATCAGTGCAGATGAATTACATTACATAATGAAAGCAATTCTCAGAGCATTGTTTGAACAAGTCTTCATCACAGTAGTGAGTCTGTTAAGAAATCTGTACAAATTAATAAGAAATGGCAAGTCTACCATTGCAACCATTTACAGCTATCGGCCTGATGCTTCAGTGGCCCTGCCTGGGCTCCACCTCAAGTTTACAGTGAAACTTTGAGTGCATACAAACATATCATGAAATTTAAGCATTTTTATATCATTTTTCCCAAAGATTATATACATTTAAATACTACACCAAGAAAAACTATTTTATTTTATCTTTCTCAACAGGATACTAACCAATAAAGAAACAAAATCTTCAATTTCTTTTGATAGGTGTGTCATACCTTTTGTCTGAAAACTATTTACTGAAAATTTAACTACCTATGGTAAGGATGGATAGTAATGACCATCAATTACCATAAGCAGCCTGCTCTGAGTGAGAATGTTACAAACTGAAATCAACTCCACACATAATTCCAGCCTTGCAAGTAACCACACTAACTGAACAACATATTCTGCATGCACCTAATGGAGTAGGTGTACATGTTTTAAATTATAATCCGTTTCATGAAGAAATACACAAATGTAACAACTTTTGTAATTATGTGATTTCAAGTAAATTTCCATTAACAAAGACTAAAACATACTGAAACTGTCTTAAATAATTAGGTGGTTGGAATATATGTGACTGAGGTTGTCAACTTACAGTTATACATTCCTGATATCAAGAAAAATGTAAGTTTGCGAACGTCTGTAGTCAGTCTGTGTACCTTCTTAAGTGAAGATTAGTAACGCATCAGGATTACAATTCAGACTTCAAATAATGTTCAGCATTGACTTGTATTCATTTTGGGTTCAAATCATTATCACCACCTCCACGAAGATGCCTTAAGATCAGCCTTACACAGTTTCATGACCTGACATTATTGGCCGAGTCTATGTGTCTTTCAAGTTTTTGTATACCTACAGAAGACTCTTGATCAAACAGAGGACTTTTATAGCCGCATATAAGATTTGCAACCACTGTCCAGTGTGATTGATAAAAGTTGTTTTTAATTTCTCATCCTTTATACGTTTCAGTCAAAATGACCATCTTCACGTATGGAAACTACTGTTACACGTCGTGGATATATATGTTATATCATTTAACTAATATTAAGATGTACATTGATTTGTTAAAACATCTAAAATTATTACAAAAGTCTAAGGAAAAGAAACCAAATTGGTTCTAGTTTAAAACAAATACTGAACATTATTTTGTAAACAGACTAATTGTAATAATTTTTAGATGTTCTAAAAATCAATGTACATCTTAATATTAGTAAAAAGATATAACATATATATGTATGACATGTAACAGTAGTTTCCATACGTGTTGATAATATCCTTCTGAATATGGTCGTTTTGACCGAAACATGTAAAGGATGAAAAATTAAAAACAACTTTTATCAATCACACTGGACAGCGGTTAAAACCTTATATACAATTACTAGTGTGACGGACCAGGATCAACCAAATTACGTTTATAACCCATTAAAATTTTTCAGTGAAATATCAGTGGTGTTTTACGATGATTTGCAGTAGACTGTACATCTTCTGATTCTGTTGCTTGTATAATTTTACAGCTTTTCATACTGGCCTACAACTGAACAAGGGTTTCTTTCCTCCCTTGGAAGGATACAATATTGCTATTGCAATCAAGAAAGGCCAAATATAATTACCTCATGTCTGATTTAGCTTAAAGGCTGTTCATCTGGCTCAAGTCCTATAAGCAAGCAACTAATCACTAGAAATTGTACTTTCCAGCTTACAGGTGCCAACAGGTTACGTAAGGAAGCAGGAGAACCACTGTACTTATTTGAATGTGACATGAACTCTGTGGCCTTCCTTCCAGTATACATAGGCACTGTCGGCAGCTGCAAGCTGTGTCTTATTTAAAATAGAGATGATATTCCAGACAGTAAGAAACAATAAAAACATTTCAGAGTTGGTGCCAGCATATTTCATGAAGAATTTGTAGTTTTGTTTTTCAGATAGTTGCCCTGAAAAAGAAAGAAATAAAGAAAATGTAGTAATGCTCATGTTAAACTTGAAGATATGGTGTTTTTTTAATGAAATTTCATATTCTGCATCAAAAACAGAAATTTTTAGTAAAGCTTCACATCAATCCATCATTAAAATGACACTTTAGAGTGTACAATCTACAAATTATAACAAGACAAGTGACATGCTCAGAGAAAAACAAATATTTACTTTGCAGCAGTATAATCACCAAATGACATTATCGACATTGCTATATGGCTTCCCATCTACTCAGCCTTTAAGTTAAAGCTATGAATTACTGTTATTTGCAATGTCAAAATTAGACAAATTTTGAATTCAGTTCACTGGTTTCATCTAGTAATCTGTGTTTTCGTGTCTAAGTCTGTCAGTTAATGAATACAATTTTTTTAATTAGAACTGATTGTTCTTTTCAATGAATGCAGACAAAAAGCATACTCATGTTTGTTTACTGCTACTACAGACCACGAATGGAGACTGCATTTCTTTCTGCTTCTGCTGCAAAAGGCTAAGCGTTCTGAGTGGGTGTCAATTGAGCTCATCTGTTTCATAAAAAAAAATTAATCTCCTTCAGATGGGGCACAGTCTGTTTGCCCTTAAACATTCTGTAATATCTGCTGCTCCCGTCACTGATTATCCTAACAGCTGGCCAAATTTTAAGTTAGTCTGCTGCCTAAAGTCATCAATTTCTCCCAATTTCCAACCCATGGTCTGTGTCTATGTCTACTAGCCTAATAACAAATGAACATATATGCTGTGTGTTTTATGAGGCGGCTCCATCTGACTTGCCACAAAGTTTCAGTATTCGCTTTTGTCCCAGGACTGAAGCTACTGTGTATGTTTGTAGTCAGCAGAAAATGAATGCACAAAAAGTGCGGATGGATATCTATCTGCTATGTGGAATCATGGACATGTAACGATAACTAAAGTTTGCTTGCTTATGAAGCACCATTTAGAAATAGCATTAGATGGTTTCACAGTCTCATGTGCAGCACATCCATCTATAGAACTTTCTAGAAGTTATTCAGTACATGTTTCAACCTATTAGGTCATCATCAGGTGTTTTAAAATTATAAAGGAGGAAACTGCTCTGCTTCCATATTGTGGTTGCTGGTCATCAATGCGGTCCCTTCTATGTGCATGTATATACAAAGTGTCTGGTTGATCTGCCTGCTGTGTCATGCAGTGCAAGAGGGACACGCAGCATAACACAACAGGTAGAACGACCCATCACTTTGTATATACATGCGCATAGAAAGGACCGCATAGTGATGACCAGCAATCACAATATGGAAGAACAGCAGTTTCCACATTTATAATTTTAAAACACCTGATAATGACCTTATAGGTCAAAACAAGTAGTGAATAACTTTCAGGAAGTTTTACAGAAGGACATGCTGCACGTGAGACCGTGAAACAATTTGGTACTAAATGAAGTGCAGCAGGGTGCTACAATATACTAAAGTAAAGTAAAGGTATCCCGGTAACAGGCCGTGGGGGGCCATAGGGTTGTGAGATGTTGAGGTTCCCACATTTTCTAGACAATCGGCTCATAGATGGTGGCAAGGTTGTCAGCCCTATGGGCCAGCCGCCCTTTAGCCCCAAGAATATTGCAAGAATATTCCTGGTACTCATTTCTATTAGAGGCTGAGTCGACCCCAGGGCCATAGTGCGGCTGGAAGGATTAGGTCAATTGAAAAAAATCCAATGACTTCATCAGGACTTGAACTCATGACCTTCCAGCTTGTATTACAAATAAGAGCTCATGACCAGATCTGGACTGATACTCACTCCCTCCTGTTCAGTTTTCTTCATTCGTTTCTCCACTTTATTTTTGCCAGGTCCCTTTCCATGAAATTCATGAGACAGGTATCTGAAATTAGAAACAGAGACAACATTAGAGTCACTGTATTTTTGGATCTTACAGAACGTGGCCATGTTTCCAAGTAAGTAAAGTAAAGGAAAAGTAAGTAAAGCTATCCCTGTAACAGGCTGTGAAGGCCCATAGGGTTGTGAGACGCAGGTCCCAAATCTTCTAGACAGTCGGCTCAAAGATGGCGGTAAGGTTGTCACCCTTACGTGCCAGTCATGCTTTACTCCCCAGGAAAATTATTTAACTCCTGTAACTCATTTCTGTTAGAGGCTGAGTGAACCCCAGGGCCATAGTGCGGCCAGAAGGATTAGGTCAATCGAAAAAAATCCAATAACCTCATTGGTATTTGAACCCGCGACATTCCAACTTGTAGCATAGTGCCTTAATCACTATGCTACCGCGTGCAATCCAGTTATAGAGGAGATGACAATTCAAAGCTCAGATATTCTTTACCCTTCAAAATCTCCTACTCTACTCCATAATCAAAGCAAGTGGCTGATCCTTGCGCCCATGATAACTCTCTTCCCTAAAGCCTGCTGCAGAGAAGACTTGACAGCTACAGGACAACTTAGGTGACTTAGTCTGCAGTCACCTGCTCACACTAGTTCCTTGCTTGTGGATTTTTATACTCTGAAGACAAAGGCGATATGTTCCTCCAAAACATCGGTTTACACAATATACAGTGCCACATCTCAGAAGATGGCATTCTTCATAAGTGACATTCATTACATACCAACACACTATACATTAAAAAATGAAAAAAAGTAAAGTTATCCCTGTAACAGACCGTGGAGGTCCATAGGGTTTCAAGACGATTGGCTCACGGATGGCGGTGAGGTTGTCAGCCTTATGCGTCAAGCTATCCCTGTAACAGACCATGGAGGCCCATAGGGTTGTGAGACATTAAGGCTCCCACATTTTCTATACAATCGGTTCATGGATGGTGGTGAGGCTGTCAGCCTTACACATCAGCCGCACTTAACCCCCCACGAAAATGCCTGGTACTCATTTCTGTTAAGAGGCTGAGTTGACCCCAGGGCCATAGTGCAGCTGGAAGGAGCAGGTCAACTGAAAAAAATTAATGACCTCGTCAGGACTTGAACCCACGACCTTCCAACTTGTAGCATAGTGCCTCAAACAACTATCCTACCTCTACTAATATTACACAGTAATGATTAATGTGTTTCTACTAAAACCCCTAACAAAACTGCAGTATATGATTAAATATGGTACACCATTTATGAAATACTTAAAATATAAATGCACAATTAAAACCAATACTAAAGTGTCAAGGCCTATGTTGTACATAAAGAATCTGCTAATGACTCACCAATCTCAACTTCATTCCAAGCTCCACGTCTGCCTTCTTCTTCCTGATGTTTCTTCTCTTCAATCATTTCCCTCTCAAAGTCCTGTAATGTAAATTTTGTATGAGATTCGCAGAACACAAATGAGCAGTCCAAAAATTACCAATTCAAAATTACCTTGAGATAGACTGAAATCTGAACTGCTTACTCACCAACCACTGTATAAAAAACTACTGCACTGTGTAGGAGTGGAGCTTCTGACAGCAGTGGATTTGAAGAGTTCTGTCATCTGGGATATAATGCCGTGTGGTCTGTCGAAAGTCAAGAGACATATTGCAGAAACATGTCGCCTCCATCTTCAGGGTTGAAGAATAAATCAAGCAAGAAACCAGCACTGGCAGGTAACAAAGCCAAGTTCCTACCTGCTTCATGCTGGCTTCTGGTTTCATTTATTCTTTGACCCTGAAGATTCAGGTGACGTGTTCCCCCAGAAATTTGGATGATACCCCAGAAGACAGAATTCTTCTGGCTATACTGATCATCTTGAAACTTGCTTTGCCAAAATATCTTTTTAATATCATAATATGCTTTGAAGTTACAGATCTATTAGAAACATACTCTCATTCTACCAAGCAATGTACACCTGCCAAACTAATTCTGAGTTTGCAGTGAGAATACTGTGATGACTAACATTCAATTCACTCTGCAATGAATACAATTACAAGAACTATTGGTTTTTCCTTTAGTCATGTTCTGAGCTATTTATTCATCCCTATTTCAATTTCACATATCATTCCTAGTAGCATCTTTTCTACCCTTATCATGCACATGGCACAGGGAGAAGAAAGAAATAAAGTTGGGAAAAAAGCCTGGATTTCAGATTCTTGTAGACGAGATTAAGAAAGGCACTATCTTCTGGGAAGTAACATCCTGTTAAGTCCACTGACATTCCTTCAAAATGCTTATGGACCTTATCACATTATACGACATTTTATTCCAGAAGGCACCACTTGTCAAGAAGAAGAAGAAAAAGGTTCTACCATCTCAACTATCACATTCTTATTGTTTAACGAGTGCTTTCATTTCTAGGATTTCTGTTGGATATTTCCAGTTCAGTAATTTATATATCCATTATCGTGGAATTCCAACTGTAATTAATATATATTCTAATTCTGTTGCAGCTGCAGTAAATAACTGCAGATGGGCAATGGACTGTATCCAGTCTTGACACATGCTAATCAAAGTGCCTTGCCAAGTGTACATTTATCTGCGGATAGTTATATTCCACTCACAAGTAGTTCCTCAGCGTCCTCATCCCTGTTGCCAGCCAGACCATAAAGGGGGATGTCACCTAACGTACGGCAGAATTCTGCAGTAGCATTCAGCACAATGGAACCACCTTCCGAGTTTTCTTCTGAGTTTCTCTCCAGTACTGACTCTGCCACCTACAAACATCACAAATCACAAACAGTTAAATTATGTAGCTATACAGCATTCTGTTTTGTAGTGTCCATAAATGCAAAGCTGTCCCTATGCTTAATTAGTTATGCTCTAGATGGAGGTGAGTGGCCAGCTCCATGCCACTCCCACCCCAGGAAACAGCCCCTGGTGCCTATTTGACAGGAAGCCATAACAGGTCTCAATAACCAAAACACAAGAAAGGATGATAGTATAAAAAAAGGTAGAGCTCTCCCTGTATCAGCCCGTGGAGGCCCATAGGGGTGAGACGTCGAGACTCCCATACTTTCTCGACAATAAGCTCACATTTATGTTACAGGCTGAGTTGACCCCAGGGTCATAGTGTGACTGGAAGGATTCGGTTGATCTAAAAATCCAATTATCTAACTGGGAATCGAACCCATGACCTTTCAGTTTGTAGCACAGTTAGAAAGGATGACGATATTACTTAAATGTGAATATATGATTTACTGGTTTGAGGCTCACTGCAACAAACTGTGAGAGAAACAATTTAATAACCCTCAGGTTAAATTACAATGGTTCTGTATAGTAACCAAGGAGGAAACATCATAATGAGCTTTACTATAAAGTTCTGTGTAACATTTTATAACTGGAACATATGGAGACACTGTGTAGGAACTAAACATGGCACAGGATTCTGTAGCTAGGGGCAATTTCATCACCTCCCACCACCTATCCATAGGGCTGCTCCTCTCTTGTCTCAGGCAGGTGAGGGGAAGATGGCCTTGACTGAACAAGAGAAATGACCCGTACTACAGCCAAACATTTGTGAGAAGGATTAAAAAGGAAATCTGCCGATGTGATGTACCTTTTCTACTCTGTCCTTTGATTCTGTAACAGCCTCCTGCAGCTTCAGTCTCTGTGCTTTCTTGAGGGCTATCTGTAGCTCCAGTTCGCTGTCATTGGGATCAATCTTGATGTTGGACAGTTTCTCTTCTGGCGCTGAAAGTTGTGTCCCATTATTAATAACATTCAAAACTGCTCCTGCACTACATTTCCTTTCATGATTTCACAACACACTTCGTAGCGGAAACTATATAGTAAGAGGAAGTGGTGGAAACAGAAATGTGTCATGAAGGGATCAAGCAGCAAAGAAAAATGGTTCAGGATAATTACATATGCTACTCCTGTACCAGGACATGAAGGCCCATAGGGTTGTGAGACGTCGAGGCTCACTCATTTTCTAGATTCGGCAGTGGTACATATACTACAATTGGAACAAACCGGAGAAGTTTAATTATGTATGGAGGAGCCAAAAGTGGAAGGATGAAGGATCTAAGAAAGGTAGGGAAAGAAGGAAATGGGAAGGAGTCAAAAGTGGAAGTAAAGTAGGGAATTGAAAGAAGTAAATGTGATTAAAGAAGGGAAAATGATGAGGTCCTGAAAGGAAATGGTGAATGAAAAAAGGTTCAGCAAAAAGCAGTATGGAATGACAGCAAAAAAGGAGAGGTGAGAGAATAAGAGAAATCAGAACTATGATGACAGAAAGTGGTGGAATGGGGGAGCACAGGCATGATAATCAAAGAAGCAAAAATAAAAAGGGTCAGGAGAGAAAATGGTAGATTTGAAACCAGTTCAGGAAAGTCAGGAAGATGGAATTTAGGAGAGGAGGTAATAGAAGAGCAGAAGTTCAGGAGTGCAGAGGATGCTAAGTCAACGGACAGAACATATAAAGTGCAGTAGAAATTTTCTGAAAGACAGTAGTACAGAAATTGAAAGGCTTCAGAAAACTCAAGCGAAGAAGGGCAGAACAGACAGAAAAGTTGTGGCAGAAGGGAGAAAGGTTAAAACAAATGTTAAGTATAGGAAGGAACAGTGAAGATCAGGGCAGTAAGTTGGTGACTATGATGATTATATGCTATGCTGAACTATATTATACTAAACACAGAGTATGCTGANTCAAAACGAAGAATACACGGCGCCAAAACCCAGAAGACGACTTTCTTCACAGTCATCGCCGTGAAAACCTCAAAACTTACACAAGACAATAAAATGTTTCACATTATACTGTGACATGACAATTTTTATAACACACTACTGTGCTGTACTACTATGTATTATATTCAAACAAATTAGATGGTCCTAAATATTACTATATGAATCTTACCAACTGCAGGGCTTACATTTCTAACTGCGCCACGATCAGCAAGATCTTGGGCCTGCAGGACACTGATGATACCTAAGTGAACAAATAAAAAACCGAGTGATTACAGGTGTTAATAATAGAGTATCCTGTAGAAATATGTTTGGTGAACTGTTACCTCACTATATATATTTGAGATTTTATATTTTATAATAAAGAATAAGATATATACAACTCAGTATTCTGACATTCACAGCTACAATACCATACATAAACATACTTTGTATGTTCAATTTTGTAATACCGATCCTTGAAAAAAAGGGTAATCAATATGGGAACTAAAATATTGAATGACCATCCCCTTGAATTGAAAAGCAGTGAAAATTTTAATGTTTTTAAGAGGAAAATATAAAATTATTTGCTGTGCAGTGCTCTCTATTCTTTTCAAGAGTTTTTCAACTAATGTTGGACTGATGACTAGTTTGTTGACTGTCTTTTGGTTTGCAATTTTTAATATTGTTTACGTGTTTTATATTACTGATATTTTTCTTTTGGTCTTATATCTCTTTTATTGTTATGTACCTTATAATGGTTGTTATATTACCATGATACATCACTGTGTAATTTTTATGTGACTTTGACATATGATGCATTTGCTGTTATTTCTTGACATGTCCAATTGTATTCACTTCAGTTATGGACAGAAAGAAAGCTGAAGTTGAAATTGACACACATCAGTGGGCATAATTCATTTATGAGCCAGTACTTATGGAACATATATATTTATTGCAGACACTGCAGATTATGTATAATAATGTGTGACAAACAATTATTATTTCAGTGACTTACTTATGCATACATAATAAAGTTTTGCCCCATAAGTCATATAAAATACTCAATTTGTGCTATAAGGAAAGTAGGCGATCAGTTTCTTACAGAACTTCTTGTTGAGTATTCAAGAGTTTATCTATCACAGGTTGGTGTCTGGTAGTTATGAAACCCTAAAAATAGGGATCCTTCACATAGGCCTCACAAAACAAAACTGCAATTCTCTCAAAAATACCTGTCATTTTGACTAAATTTCAGTAATTTATGGAGACCATCTTCTTAAATCATCAGAAATCTGGAAATATACACTGTATCTGATACGTTCAATAATATCAAAAGACATAAGATTTATGGGAAAAGTGCACAGAACACAAAGCATTTTCTTCTACATGTTTGCTCCATTTTTTGCCGTGTTTTGCTATGCTTGAAATTAAAAAATTCATAAATTCTCAAATATAAAATGTCATGGAACTCCATTCTGTGGTTCTCAAGTTTATCATCAATACAGGCAGATTATGCTGTGTTACATTAACAAGCTCCACAGGGTTGCAAAGCCAAAACACTATACAGCATGTAGTCTGAGGCACGGATTAAGTTTCCACTGAGAAGGGGAACATCCGCTTTAAAAATAAAGATTCAGAAACACTCAGGGAACATGACCTGCCTAGCTGGAGCACTATATATCCTGACAAAGAACTGATACATGTGTCTGGCATCTGAACACTGGGTATAGCTGTAACGGTGTGTGACATGACACGCACCTCAAGTACAGGGACTCCCTGCATGAGCTAGACAGCTGAACAATGAAACAGAGAGGAAGACGCTGTGTGATCCCTGCTCACTCAGCAACTTGGCATCCTTCATCACTGGGAACAGCTTCCAGCCTCCATCAAGATAACAGATCTCTAAGATGAGATTGTGTCTGAGGGCTCTAGAATACACACCTGCCAACTCAAAGATGTTATGTCTCAGAATAGTACAGATCATCTCATATGTTACATACCTTCTACATGGGATGTATCCATAGAACATGCAGGAAAAGTGGGCAATTTGCTGAATCTTCCAGGCCCACTCTGACATCAACGTCTTCCCTGATCAGCTGCATAACAGTCTTTTCACAGGCGCCTATCCATAACTGTCAAATAAACAATTATGTAACGCTTACAAGATCATCGGTTTTAATCTATCTACAGGTTATTCAGAAGCTTTTTTTTTTTTCAGATATTTTCTCTACATATTTTGAACAATGTCTGCTGCCCCAGTTTCCTCAAACCATTCTGTTCGATTAACTCTTTGTATCCTTCATACTGGCCCGTGGGGCCCAACCAGGTAACATTCCTAACCTTATCCTGTAGCATGAGGGTGCTAACAGTCCACAAACCCGAATGCTCTACATTAAGCTTCAAAATACAAGAGGAACTTTATTCATGTTCCTACGAAACATAATAATTATTCACTTACTTGCAAAATCTTTTAAAAATAAACACTGCCACTACATATGTCACACATTTATGAAAGTTGGTGTAATTAAATAAAAAACATTCACTGTGTAATTAAGGTCACACCTACTTCCAGCAAAGGCTACCACCACGGATTATCATAAACTACAGATCACCATTACAATCGTCCACGGATCAATTGAACTATTTTCTTTTTATTGTGGGGAAAAAAATGAATTTACATAAAATGCCTAGACGATGCCCATCGGACCCCTGATCAATTGTGCTCCTGGTGGAAGTTGTACTGAGTGCCATCTATACTATAAGTCCTAAATTTCATGGTATTAATTTCGGCGTCATTAGCTCAGTTGCCTTCAAATTCTCTACTCTTCCTCGGTATCGGTAGCGATCGTTGCGTTGCGTAACTTCTGTAAACTTCAGAACATAATTCTTAATTCCATTTACGCACTTGGAATATGGAATTACGAACTTGTGTAATATTCCATGTGCGGAAATAGAATTAAGACTTTTGTTCTGAAGATCACAGAAATGACGTATCCCTACTGAAGGTGTGCACATCAGCCATGGCTTAGATATTTTACAAAAGCAATGCAGTGTATGCAGTAGCAGTTTACCTCCATATTTTAAGTAGCTAATGAGCACAAAATAGTGTGGTTGGTTGAGGCACTATGCTGTAAGCTAGAAGGTTACCAGTTTGATTTCCAATGAGGTTGCTGGATTTCTCAATTGACCTAATCCTTCACAGCCGCACTATGTCCCTGGGTCGACTCAGTCTATAACAGAAATGAGCACTAGGAATCTTACCAAAGGTAAAGGGCGGCTGGTGCATAAGGCTGACAACCTCACTGTCATCTGCAAATAGACTGTCTAGAAATGTGGGAGCCTCAACGTCTCACAAGCCCATGGGCCTCCACAACCTGTTCCAGGGATAGCTTTACCTTTACTACTTAAGTATCTAACACATTAGAAACAAAAGGAAAAGGATTATGAATGTGATTGACAGATAAACTCATTTCTTGTTACTTATTTTAGATAAGAGGTGTGATCAATTTTTTAATGTAAATTTGTGAATCTGTCCCTACCTGCTCCCCTCCATTGTCCCTTCCATCCGCCATCTCTGCTTAAATGTGTCCTGTATGTTCATTAGACTGAAATAAAGTTAACAAGATCTCTGATTCCTTCTCATAAAAAATATACTAGAAAATTCATAAAATTTATGAATATTATCAGAGGGGATTTTGCCACTATTCACTGTGGATATAGTGGCAATATGACTCTTAGGAGAGAAACTTAGAGTATTATGAACTGTATGGTAATATTAATTGTTTGGAGTGCCAATACTGTAATATATGCATTGTTTGTCTTGAAACACTACAGTGGGCTCAATGTATGGTAAGGGATGACCTTAGTAGTAGGGTGGTAAGGTATTAACAAAGACAGAGGAATATTCACATTCAGTCTCTGACTTTGATGACAAAATTGTTCTCAGTCCAAACTATAATAAGCATGCCAAGTACATGATTTTATACATAATAAATGATATTGTATAAGAACATCACAGAGGACATTGCAAAGAAAGCCTAAGCATTGCACTAAAATGTCATGAGGAACAAAGATTATTTACACATGTATATTTAGGTTGCCATGTTCTTAGTGACAACTTGCTAGTAAGTATAATAGGAAACACTGACTGACTGATTTTTGGCTTATTCAGGGGCACTGTTTCGACTGCTTAGGTTATACAGTCAAACAGCATGATGTTGCTGTAGCAGCCATGGCCTGCTTTAAGCTACAGTCCCAGGAGGCTATGAAAAACCTCAGGATAGTTGGTCTCTAGAATAAGACTGGAACTTGGGACTTTCCAAATATAAAGCAAAAGTATTAACCATTTAACTGCGACATTAAATTAGCAGGAGTATTAACAACTCAACTGTGACATTAAATTATAAGATACTGATCAAGTCTGCACTGAGATCATTATTATATAACCATTATGTAAAAAACAAAAGAAAATGATATACATTTTTATTCAGGCATTACAATCTAAAGATGAAAAACCAAGCAATTTTTCACTTGCTTTGTGTGATATGCATGAACCTAGCAGTATTTCCATAACCTTTGTTAAGTAATATTACCAAGAGTCATGCAGATGAATCCAAAATGTTTGGTCCAAGAAATTATGGCTCCTATTAGAGCTTCATTATGAACAGTGAAGTCTATCTTACAGTAACTCTCATCTGAGAAACTGATTCATTCAATATAGATAGGAAGGTTGTTACAGTCAATACGACAGTCACACCGAGATTCCTTTTCTCTTTACAAATCAGTAATGCAGAGATATAAAATACCAAATTAACTTATATGCTACTGAGTATTTCTGAAACTGTATCTTGAATTTTCTACATAACACAACAACAACAATATCAAAAGGCACAGACATGCACACACACACACACATGCACACATACACAATTATACATGTTTGCATAAGTCGTGTATGCAGTTTCAGGATTTCTTGAGAATAACATATTAATATTGAGAAATTCACTGTTCTCCTACAATGGAATAAATACCCTACTATTGTAGGGTGACCAAAAAGACCAAAAGAATAAGACAAATTAATAGGTATATGTCAAAATATGGCAATATGGACAGTCTTTCCCTGCCACATACGTGGCATAGGAGATGTATAAGGGGGAAGAAGTGCAGGAATTTCTGAAAAAGTAGCAAGTTATGGTTTATGTTAGCCTGAAATATCTATAGCAAAGCAGTCAAAGAGCTGTAAGTATACATGTTTTCTGAAAAATAAATACACAAACAGTTTAACAACATATCATTCGTTACTTTATAAAGAGTGGTGACAAGGATAAAATGTAAAAGAGAAAGTTGACATCTGATTTTTTGTAGCACTGATTAAATTGACTTATGCTAATTACCAATATATATAAATACAGAAACTGTATTTTAGAGAGAAATCACTGCTGCAAGGAAAACAAAGTTTAACAAATTACATAGTTCTTACTGCGTATAGACTACTGCGAATGATAGAAATTCTGCTCCTAACATTACGAGGAATGTGGCAGAATCATGGCTCATACATGCCACACAGCCTTCATATGCTATCTGAAATATGGAAAATTAATGCAGGAGTAATAAGGTTTATAGAAAGAGGGCAGAGTACGAAGCAAGCAGCAAGCAACAAGTAACTCAAAAGTAAACTAATCATAACAAATGAAAAATAAGAGGCAGCTTGTTTTAAAATTTCTTCTACAAAATGAAACACAAATGTTGATACAATGACGACATAATCAAATGTTAATATTCTTGAGTTGACAGTAATAAACTTTCAGTATATGGACATGCATGGATGAGTATCATACAACAAGCCTTCAGTGAAATGCAATGAGCTAAAAACAAGACAAGATCTGATGGTAATAATACTAGAGAAGTTTTTCACCAGAGAACAGAATTGCACCATTGTGATATTATGCAGACATTCAATGCAATTTTACAAAAGTATTACATGCTGTATAGGTGATTATACAACAGATGACAAGATGCTGCCACCCTTCCATAGTTGATGTCCATTAAAAAGTTTTCATAGAGAACAGACAGGAGAAATATGACATAAAAAATTCTGACAAGTTTGGAACTAGTTAAGTGGATGGTGCATTATCTTAGCTTCACACCCTCATCTACATAGTTGGTATACATTTGCATGCAGTATTCCTATGAGACTCTCTGCCAATGTAACAAGTGAATTGAATTGAACTGAACTACTGACACCTGCATTGCCATGGAATATATCCAGAATCATTAGATGAAAACCCTACCTCCATACCCCAACTGTGGAAGGTGTCATGCGAGCTACAGAAAGGCCATATTAAAGAGGCTGAAGTACTGCAACTTAGGAAATTATTTGTGAGTTATTTGCAGTACCAGAAGCAAGAGGACTGGGCTATAGGCTGGATGACTGAGGGGTCAGAGTTTGAGTTGCGGTAGGGTCAAGAATTTTCTCTTCTCCATGTCTTTTCCAGCCTCAGGTGAGTGAGAGACAACCTACTCTGCTGGATTCCTTAGAAAGAGCTAACCTCTTTCTAGGGGACCCAACAGAGTAAGTTGTCTCCCCACTCACCTGAGGATAGAAACACACTTTCTGAAAATTCTGAATTCAGTTTTCAGGATACTGCAATGGTTAGCTGTCACTGCCAAGAGATGTCAGGATAGACTCCACTTATAATTTCATATACTAAAGTTATAAGGTGTAAAAGGGCCAATTTCAAAGTGATGTATCTTAAGCATAACATAAAAATTTTAATATTAAAAAATTCTTCTGAAGTTCCTAATATGAGAAATACCAATTAAAAACATGATTTATTGAAGAGGATTTCTAAGGTCTTACATCCTTACCAGTATATAAAATAAAATACTTCTCATTCCTCAATGTTGCCAAGGTTAATATGGAGTAACAGAATTTGTTAAAAAATTTTAGTTGATATCATACATTGCATAAGGTTTCCCCTGATTTTATATTCAATCCAATTGGATCTCTTTGAAAAGTGATTGGGCATAATTCCCTTTTATATTATCACAAAACTAAACATTTCCATCTTACTAGATATCTTCTTATGCATACTGTTTCTCAGTTTTCCTTCAGATCCTGTCTGCACTCATTCTCAATTGTTCTTCCCAATATCTTAAAAATATCTGAGCTGGAAAGATACTGAAATACATATTTTAAACACATTAGCTTGCGTTTTAATGATACATCACTGTCTGTGGAAAATCTTATGATTTCCAGTAAAGTTTATAGCTTTAAGAACTGAATTTAAGTGTGATAAATAGAAGCGCTCAATACAAGTTTCCAACTTAATATATAATATGCATATAAAGACGTCTTGAAGCAAGACAGAACATGGCACAGTGAATATATTTCATCAAGAGAGACTTTATAGCAGACAGGCCTGCAGTCAATTAGACATGTGTACTGAGTGTTATTTACATTTCTGTTTTCTTGTATTATGACACATCATGTACCTGCGGAAACTTTCAAAATATTGCTTCTCTGCAATGATGTCTGATGCAGACTGAAGCTGTTTATCAGTACACATAAGAGAAACTATATTAAAGGGATAACAAATTTACACTATTTATATCTCACTGTTTTGCTATAGGTCAGCTTCTCATATTTCAGCAAAAACAATGATTATTCACTGCTATTTGTATCTTTGTTCTTTTGGCCTCTATAATATTAAATTGGGGAGCTGAGACAGCTCAGTCAGCATAGCGATGGGCTAGATGACTAGGCTTCCATTTCTGGCAGAGGCAAGAGCTTTTTCTCCTCTCCTCAGTGTCCAGACTGGCTCTGGGGCACATCCATCCTTCTATACATTGGGTACTGAGGGCTCTTCCCTCAAGGTTAAAGCAGCCAGAACATGAGGCGGTCCACTCACCTCCATCTAGAACCGAAGTCAAGACTGGAGAATCTATACATCCACCCTCCTATATATCTTCATGGCATGGTGCTTGATCATTTAAGCACTGACAGCTGTAATGTGAAATTAATCATTCACATCATACTCTGTTAAAGGTTAAAAATAATAAATAAATAAGGTTATGAAAAACTATTACAAAAAATTAGTATAATATATAAGAAAGTATCAGAGTTAGAGGGTTTAAAAAGTAGAGGTTGAAGACAAAAAAAAAATATCAAATACTTATCTAAAATAATATTAGGTCAGCATTTCTGATTTGTTATGTTCTCTTTCGACATGCATCATTCAGATTCCTACTGTCATAACTGCAAATATGGAGCTGCTCAGTGCATATTTGAAGGCAAGTCTGTTGCTAATTTCAACAGTTGTAATACTCTAACACCACTACTTCGATCAGTCAGTTATTTGTTTGAGTACTTTACAATGCTGTCAAATGTAGAGGGTTTGCAGCAGCATGTATAAAATGGTAGGATGGTTGTCATGACATACTGTGAGGAATGTGCAAGGAGGAGGTCATGGCCAGTTTAAAATACTATTCTGGTATTTTCCTGGAGAGGCTGAGGAAATATAAGGAAATATGTCAGGATAGTTAGTGCCTCAGTTGGTATTTGAATGTGGTAACTCCTAAATGAGAATATACCATATTACTAATTACAAACCTATATAGTCTAGATGTAAAATTAAAGAGTTATAAATGAAAGAAAATTACAAGGTAAAATTATGGCTAAGAACATTAAATACAAGTGGAAAGAGAATTGCATATGCTGGTATATGAAGAAAACCAATATTTTATTTATAAAAGGAATATTTTCAGTGTGAGATGAGAGTAGACTGTTAACATTAACCAAACAAATAGGCTAAAATAATAATGCTTGCTTCGTATTCATGAGGTAATCAGTTAGAGCTGTGGCCAGGATACTCCCTATCCTAACTGCTTTTGTCAGTTCCTCCATGCAAATGCAGGAACAGCACCTCTAATTAGGCCACAACTGCTTCCTTCCACATTCCTTCCAATTTATTACTCACTTATCATCCTACCATTCAACACTGTACAGTATATGTAATTTGAGATACTAGCATTTGTGTTAAATAAAGTAGCAAAACATAAATGTTAACAATTGATGAAGGATTTGTAAAAATAATAGCAAAGTATGGTAATAATATTATACAAAATGGTTTGAAACCACTGTTCACCATAAAGTTCTCTGAGGAAAAGCAAGAATTTTGTGCACATATTCCAGTGACTTAGTTTCAGCATTTGCCACCAGGGAAAAAGTACATACTTTATACATACAGTAACAAAAGAATGCTCAAAAAGAATGACACAAGTGACAAAAAGGTGTCAGCAGCCTCTATGTTCTGCCAGATAATAATCATACAGACTTCCTCTCTGGAATTAACTTCTCCAAAGTTTCAACATGTCTTATCTTTGGTTTTTAATCATTTCATTTTCAGCACTAACAAAATCCATAAAATCCAAAATCTGTAACAACAAATATCCTCATAACAAAGTTACTGGGATCCATCTCATAAGTGGAGAAACCTATGTAAATAAAGTTTGTTTATCAAAATGCTGCTGTTAGCAACAAATAGCTTAATAACAACACAAGGAATAAGTGACTAGAATATAGTGCATATTTTGCAGGGATGCCAGTCACATGGACAAATGCTAATAGGGCTTTCAGTTTGTAGATGGGTGATGTTAAGCTGAATTCATTCTTTGGAGGACTGAGAATATTTCAATCTGTGTGGCATTATTTATTTTGGCAAATGTGTAGAGTATTCATCCTATGGGCTACAGTAGCCCACTGACAGTTTGTGGGACCTACCTTGTATGTCTATAGAAGAATGAAATACAGGTTAGACTTCTCAAATACAACACTTGCAGCACCAGGCCAAAGATGGACCAGCTTGACAAAGGCCAAGCCTATTCATGAGAGACAAACCCATCCTCCCAGGAGAGAGGATGTTACATATTGTATTTGTATTGAATTGTATTGGAGAGGGTGGGTTTCCCCATGCACTTAGACCAACTGTTGGTCCATTGTGCGTCCCCCTATGATATTCTACCAGCCTCTATTCCCTACCGGTACTGGTGCGTGCCATCAGTCCCGACTCAGCGAGCGAGTTCGGCCTCTACTGGCTCAGCAGTATCTCGATGCTTCCCCCATCTACCTGAGGTGTTAGAGACTACTGTTGGGCGGGAAATGTCCTGAATTTGGCTCAGTGGTCCCCTTNAAAATCTGGTCATGAGCCTCAAGGGGCTTGGCATCAATACAAACTGATTGGCAGTAAACTGCCAGTTGTAAAGTAACTCTGACTCTGTGAGCTAGTTCAGGTCAAGAGCTAGCAGCTGAAGCCAGGGGTAAGAGTCAGAGGTTGGAGTGAAATGGTTACCGTCCTGCGGGGGTGTCAGCCTGACAGGAGAGTAACATCAGCTGTTGGAAGCTGTTACCAGGTAACATGGCAGAGAACACTAGCATGTGTGTGACAGTGATCTGAAGTGTAGTCATGAGCTGTATAAATGTCCAATAAATCCTGTTATCAATCCAAGACCTACATATCATCACCCAGTTGCATGACAATATTAAAATAACAGGCGAGTATTGGTATAGCTTTCAAGTGCAAGTGATGATCATAATGCTAGCGCCTGTTCATTTGAGGATTCTGATGGTACCAGTATTTGACAGAACAAGACAAGGCAAGCATTTCATTAAACTTTCCAGGCCATGCACTGCATGTAATGGCAAATGCATGCAATCCACATGGCAAAGTGTTGCACTTTTTCAGGAACTTTACAGTCCCTCCCAAGTTAAGCCCCATGCTACTAGGACTTTAAAATCTCAAATTTACAAGTATGTAGTATAGGCTGAATTCTGAGTCTTACATAGTAGCCTGGGCTTGAACTGTAGCTAGACACTTTCACAGGAATTGCAAGTAGTACTGTGGGCTATAAATGAAACATTTACCATGTTTAGTCATAGTCTTGAGATTACGTATTATCATAGAAATATGAATCGTTTCCTGGGAATGAAATATTTAAAAACTGAACTTAGGGTTTAATTTACATTTAAAACTGATTAGTATGAGTCAAGACACAAAGAGAAAACTGCAAATGTGTTAGAGCAGAAACACACTGGCACCCCTGCAGAGGAAGTTGAGTGGAATAATGATGAGAGATTGTAGCAGGTAACCAATGCACCTAATAATGATAATAACAACAACAATAATAGTACTTCAGAACATGTTAACAATGCTATCTTGAGAATCACCAAGTCAACTTGCATCTTCATTCTTTCATGTGTCCCTTCACCTTGCAAGCACACCCAGAGTTCTCTTAATAGGTGAAGACTCAGGCAGGGCAAGGGCCCATTTGCGTAAACCAGTGAGCATTACTGAGCTAGTGACAAGGATTGCTCCAGCAATACTGTATCTATTAGGCACTTCTTGAAAGAACAGCACCTGCCATATGAAGGCAAACACTATGTCCGCAGAACGTGCTATTGCCACTGGGCCCGCCTGTTCCAGCTGAAGGGCCAGAGTGAGGAGAATCTGCCCACCAAAACTGAAGAGAGCTAGTGCCACAACAAGGAACCTATCAAGTCCACAGCGTGGAATACAAAGTGCTCCCAGAACCCATGTCACCAACAGCGTCTGAACCAGAGCAAATGAGCCAAAGTTGGTCATAATGACAGAGAAGTGTAAACCTTTCAGGGCACGCAGAAGGACATATGCATTAGCACCAAACAGTGTTGCAGAGAATGCTGCAACAGCACCCCAGACATCACTATTCTGTTCTTCATGATCTGGAGAGGACGCAAGTGCAGGAATGCTGTGACCAAACAGAAGAGGTGGGCGTGTAATGAGCACAACACCAATCAAGGTGAGGCAGACGCTGATGACATTGAACATCCCACATGGCTCCTTCAGGAATAACCGGGCAAATATTGCCACAAACACCGGGACGCTGAATACTACAACCTGTAACAGATAGCAATTTGTAAATAATCAGCAATACAATATGATAATTATATGATCATGCTGGCAAAGGCATTATTTAAAAACTCACTTAGAAATGCACTGTGTCATTCTTATGCAAAAATGTCACACATCAATCTTCTCTTAGAGAGTGAAACCTGAGTAGAATGGAACTCTGATGAAATAGAAACCTGCCTTTATATCAAACTTTCTCTGGTATCAAGAATACAGTGAAAACCAATGTAAAATTAATTCCAACAAATGGAAAAATTTTAACATCAAAATATAAAAGATAATTTAATGGAAAATATTCTTCATAAGTACTTACTGTTTTCTGTTAAAAAAACTGTAATATTGTTGAATTGGTCTGTCTTCAGGGATATAATGCCATGCATTTTAGCTAAGTGAGTGAAACACGAGTGCATAGAATAAATTTCAGTGCTCAATGCATGAAGGATGAGACATGGGCACATAGCACACAGACTTAATGCTTTGACTTTCAAATTAGTTGTTATAATGATGACTGGTGCCAAATTATATTTTATAAGTCAATTCTAAAAGGGTTTTGATGATGATGTATAACATTTGAGATTACTGGGTTTCTGGACTTTATCCATCATCTGGTATTCTAAAGAACACAGTTTTGGAAATTGGATCTGTTTCCCTACTCAGATGATGGAGCAGGAAATGTCTATTCCATTGGATCAGTTAGGAAGTGCTAACCTCAGTCATGGGACCAATGACTGAGGTTCTTGCTCTCTAATGGAACCAACACTGTGGATGTCTCCCACTCTCAGTAATGGCAGATATTTTATAACCTTGTAATTTTACACATATAAAGTAAAGCTATCCCTGTAAGAGGCTGTGAAGGCCCATAGGGTTGTGAGAAGTTGAGGGTCCCACATTATCTAGAAAATTGGCTCAAAGATGGCGGTAAGGTTGTCAGCCTTAAGCGCCGGACGCACTTTACTCCCGAGGAAAATTATCTAATTAATTCCTGGTACTCATTTCTGTTAGAGGTTGAGTCGATCCCAGGGCCATAGTGTGGCTGGAAGGATTTGGTCAATTGAAAAAAATCCAACGACCTCATCAGGACTTGAACCCGCAACCTTCCAGCTTGTAGCATAGCCCCTCAACCAACTAGGCTACCTTCTTAAATTTTAAATTTGACATCAGTAATAAAGCTTACTAATTGTAGTAGCCAATTAACAGTTACTTCATTACAACACGTATATATGCTATTGTAGCCAATAACTATAAGGATTAAGATATTTCATGTAACTTGCAATAACTTTACACAAAGTTGTGTGAGATGGTAGATTAGATCTGTATTTCAAAAGTGATTGTGACAGAAAAAGACAGGTAGACAAAAAGATCTCAAAAAGTCTGTTCTTGTCTAGGGAACCACCAGTAAACTAAAAATAACAAGAAATAAATGTAAAAATATTTTAAAGAAACGTGACAGCCTAGAAGGATGCACATGTAGAACATGCAATGTACAGGCATTTGCTGATAGAATGGAAGAACAGTAAACAACATAACAAAGTGCAATTGTAAAAAAGTACTTTTATCATTATCATCATTAAGACTGCAGTGTTCTGTGATCTAGCACCACACTGTCTGGTACACAGTTATCAATGTTTCAGAGGAACATGTTACCAATATCTGGAGGGTTAAGGTGGCTATGTTCCCCCCCCCCTTTCTTTTGCTTCTAGGTAATGGCTATACTCGTTTCAATGAGAATTTGCTTCCTTTTGGTATTCATGTTTAAACTTAGTAAATTACCATTTTAGCATATATGTTGTGTAGCTGATTTGGTCCACCTAGTTTTAGTCTCTCTAATTTTTTTGTCAACTTTTGTAATAACACATTTTGTAATAAATTTAAAAAAATATATAATATACGATAGATAGTATCCACTCTTTTTAGAACTGGAACAATTAGGTAAGTCTTCACTATAAATTTTACTTAAAACCTCTAAGCTGAACCAACTTTCTGGATGTACATTCTCTTCATATCCTACCTAATTCACAGTATACAGTAACAAACCTTACATGGAATTTTGGAAAGGTGCGGAACCTAAAATCATAAGAGTAGCACATTTACCGAGGCATCAGCCAGAGGCATGTGGCGGAAGGCGTAGAAGCTGAGCATGAGGCCAGTGGTGCCAACAAAGGAGCGGAGAAGAAGCATTATTCTCCTGCCTCGTGGAAAAGGTGGTTCCTTGCGCCAAAGGACAATGGGTATTGCTGGCAGAAGGACTCCCACAAAACGACATGCAGCCAGTTCCATGGGATGCACATCCACCAGCCACTTGACTATCACCGAGCAGAGAGAGAAGAAGAGAGATGATAGTGTAGCCAGGAGTAGTCCCAGGTATGGGCAAGGGCGGCACCTGGTACCACCTCCATCACCTCTCTCTGCATCGTCTAGTCTGCTGCCACCTGTCTCTACAAGCTGCTGCAATTCCAACTGTTCTGGCATCCCACACTACAAACAGACATATGTCATAGATAAATCAATGCACTTAAGATAGGAACACCAGAAGTAACAGGCTGAGGTCATTACCTGCCCTCATTTGGACTCTTACATATAATCCAATTTTCAACATCACAGTCTCCTCTTTCCCACATTTAAACGCTACTTACATATAAAAGCCATTGTTCAGAGGGTTGACAAAATTATGCACCTGGAACAGGTGAACCTAATGGGCCTTAAGTAATAAAGACTGGTATCTACAGATTTCTGATGAGGCCATTGAATTTTTTCAATTTACCTAAACCTCCCAGCCGCACTATGCCCCTGGGATTGACTGAGCCTCTAACAGAAATGAATACCAGGAATTCTCCTGGAGGTAAAGCGCGTCTGGCACATAAGGCTGACAACCTTACCGCCATCTGTGAGCCGACTGTCTAGAGAAAATGTGGGAGCCTCGACATCTCACAACCCTATTGACCTTCACGGCCTGTTGCAGGGATAGCTTTTTACATTTAATTAGGTACGGTCACATAATATAAAGGTAAAGCTATCCCTGTAACAGGCCGTGGAGACCCATAGGGTTGTGAGACGTCGAAGCTCCCACATTTTCTAACAATCGGCTCACAGATGGCGGTAAGGTCAGCCTTATGCACCGGCCGCCCTGTACCCTAAAGAAGATTCCTGGTACTCGTTTCTATTAAGGGGCTGAGTCAACCCCAGGGCACACAGTGCGAATGGAGGATTAGGTCAATTGGAAAATCCAATGACTAATCGAACCCGCGACCTTCCGGCTTGTAGCGCAGTGCATCAACCAACTATGCTACCGCGTAGTATACAAAGAAGGCCATTTTAACCCATCCGGCAATGTAGCAGCCATTAGTCTTTCGAAATGACGTAAGAACAAGCATATGGTCGACATCAGAGAAAGTTAATAACTTTATGGTTCTATAAAAAGACATGACTGAAGTGAACATTTGGCGAAAAGCAGACATCGAGCCTCACATAGCCTACCACCTACTTCCCGTTATGGACTTCTCCTAGACAATTTAATACAGCTGTATCAAATCCTGAGGTCATTTGGGGAAGGTCGAGGAGAAACGACAATTAAATACCGTGGTGTATTTCAGAATACAAGCATATCCGAAATTCGCCTGGAGGGAGTGAAGAAATCCAAGAAACTCCTCGAACTGGGCGCATACTGAGTTAATGTCCGACACATTACCCCGCGTCAGCTAACCTGTTCGGCAGATTCTGTTCCCGATGTGTCAATGTGGAATGGTTACGGCAGAATTTCAGAAAGCTGTCTTCTCCCTTTTCACCACCTGTTCTTTACACTGTGAGACCAACTCTGTGGTCTAGTGGTCAGAGTTGAGGATAATCGAGAAGCTATTTCAAGGAAATAGCGGCTCCGGTCTAGAATACAGAAATTAACGGCAGTGGGGATTCGTCGCGCTGACCACGCGACACCCTCTATCCGCTAAAGTTGGCTGATGGTCAATAGCTGGCGCATGCGCATACGCCGGGCATGAAAAGACTAGAGTTTTCTTTTCCGATTACATAAGCCGGATACGTGTATGACAATTAGTTTCCGAGATATAATTAGTTTTATTTTGGATACCTTTCATCCGGACGCCCTGTACAAGTTATGTAATAATCAGTCCAAGTGACGAGCATACAGTAAACACTTGCGTGTTTTAACCATGAAAAATTCAACGTGAAGACCAAACATTACTATATCAGTGGAGGCTTGGAAGAATACAAAATACAGTTTTGCGTGTTTACAACCTGACAGATAAAAGTACTAGACATACACAATGATAATACTAATATAGACTTTGATCCTCTAATTAGCTAGCAACTAAGTCCATGGAGCTGAGACCGTCTTGAGAAGCTAACAGTTGTTCAGATACTGAAGAAATTCGTAGCATTTTATGGAACCCGAAAGTTCATTACCGTGATCAAAACAGCCCACCAATGGTCCTTATCGTGAGCCAGATGAATGCGGTCCACATCCTCCTACCCCATTTCTTTCAGATCCATTTTATTAACACCTCATCTACCCCTGTGTCTCACTTGTCATCTCTCTTCCTCATGTTCTCCCACCAAAACTCTGTATGCACCTCTTTCCCATACATGGGCCATGTCCCACTCAGCGTATTATTATTTTTTATTTACTCGTTCTAATAATATCTGGTGAGTGCACATTAAGAAATTAAACATGCAGTTTTCTCCAGCCTTCAGGTTCAGTACCATCCTCGTCTCAGCTGATGTTCTATACTCCTAGTAAATCTAAATTATACTACGTTAAGCACCTTCACAGAATTATCAATTAGTCTGCCTTATTGAGAGCTCTTACACGCCACGTTTCCAGACTCATGTCCATCTTCCATTGATTTGGTTGTTCCACAGAATTCCACACTTTGATCATCACGCTAATCTATAGTTAATGCATACTGCAGAAATTGAATACTCGTCTCGCCGGCAATGTAATACTTTATACAGACAGATAAGGACTACATATAACAATGAGACATATACCAATTTTTCTTTAAAATTTTATTTCTCCACGAAGTTTCAAAATATATTAAAATGTAGTTCAGCTCAATAAGGTAAAGTTGTCCCTGTGCTTAACTAATTAAACATTCGGCCATAAAGGCGTATGGGGGAGTGGATGTATAGATACACATTTTCTTGACCTCGGAATTAGCTGGAGGTGAGTGGTCAGCTTCACGCCCTTGCCGCTTTACCTCATGGGAAAGAACCGCTGGTACTCGTTTGGACAGGAGGCTGGGTGGGCCACAGAGCCGGTCTGGACGAGGTGTAGAAGAGAAAATTCTTGACCCTACCCGGACTTAAACTCCGAACCCTTGTCTTCCAGCCCGTAAGCACTCGCTATACCGACTACGCTATCCCTGCTCCTAATTCAACTCAATAGTAATTTTATATATATATGCAAATTACAACTACAAATTCCGATAGTTCGTGAACATTAAAATGCCCCTGAAGATGACCTACATAGTCGAAATTTGTAAGATTACCAGCAGTATATAATTTAATGTATTTTGATGGTAAATACGTGTCATAGCTTGCAATGTAAAAATACAGGATTGTATGCCTGATTATTTAACAACGCTGTATCAACTTCTATGGTTATGTGAAACGAAATAATGTAGAAGTTGGAATGATAATGAAAAATTAATTAAAGCTCTTACTGAGTTCAGTAAGGGCCAACTGTTACTGAAGTGCACGTCAGTGATGTTCCTGAAACATCACAACTTCGTTAGACACATGTCTTGGCCTCTGCTACAGTATTTCAGTACATACAGGGCTCAAAGTGGACGTAAAGGAGGGCAGACGCATTCCAGAGTCTTTTTTCTTTTATGAAAAACTATTTCCAGCGTCATAAGACATACTAACTTTCGCTTACAACTACAATACATTCAGGAACTAATTCCTAAACTTGCATTGCATTAATTTCCTTCAAGTGTTCGTATTTCCCCTGGCTTTCTGCTGACCTGGGGCGTCTATCTAGTTCTGAAAAGCCATTTCCAGCGCTGATTACAAATGTCATATACATAACTAACTAGAATTTATTCCATGGAGCTGAGCCCCTTCTTGAGAAGCCGCTAGTTGCGCAGCTACTCAAGAATTCCCCAAAATTTTATGGAACCCGAAGGTTCATAACCGTGTTCACAAGAGTCCTCCACTGGACCCTACCCTGAGCCAGGTCAATCCAGTTCATACCACCCCATCTTATCTCTCTAAGATCCATCCTAATATTATCATCCTACCTCCCACCTACCAATATGCATCCATCTTCTTCCCCATGCGTGCTACATGCCTTTCCTATCTCATCCTCCTTGACTTGGCGAGGAGCGTCATATATAAATGAAATACATTTAACTTCTTGCCCTCTATTTTTACAGATACAAACCCAGAGCTGCAAACTCATCACACTAAGCTACGTACAGTCTTCCAGATTCCATCTACCGCTGTTTCCATAAAAACTCGAAGGGAAAACTGTGGACGTTGAACCGACAAAACAAACAGCTGCCGAGTGGCTGTTCCTGCGTGTCCGAGGTCGACACTGGGTAACGGAGTGACGATGATGATGCAGGAAAATATTCGTAATATTGACCGGATGGCAAGCAATCAATATCATCACTGCCGGTGGTATTTTTAACTCTTAATTTCTCTATAAATTCGGCATGTATTTGCAGGATACAATGTCTGAAGCTGGAAACAACCAGAACTGAGACCAAGATTTCGCAGACCGTGCTTCGTTTGCGAAATGTTTTGATGGGCAAGAATAGCGAGCCATTTTGTGTGAATGTTACTTCAGGAGGATTGACGCAACGAATAATATGGGTGGTCGTCATGTAGTACACAAATATGCTAATTTGTTGTACTGTGTTTCAAGCGGTCTATACATTTAGCTCCGGTTCCTACGTAAGAGAATTTATTTATGAAACACTGTATAAAGATTCAGTTTCGTGGGGTTGGGCCAAATTAAGTGATGTCTCCCCCCCCCTCCCAAAAAAAAAGTTTAAATTCCAAAGAGAAAACGTTTAATTATGGATGTACGTACTCTTGTTCTTAAACCAGTGCGTATGTGGAGTGATAAAATCTGGAAATCTGGAAACATTCTGGTCTTGTATTCGAGAGAAACTCTGTTCGAATATCTTCCGGATTTTGACAAATATTCTCCTCAGTCCCTCCAGGAAAACGCATGAATACGTCGATTAGATAGCGACAAATTTCTTCCGAAACATATCCGATTCATCGTTCATCAGCCGTCTTACCATTCGACATTAAGGTCTGAGATACCGACAGCGTCGTACATCAATGATACGAAAATAAAAAAAAAATGTTCTTTTTAGTGCTTGTGGGGTGGGACTAAGTCCCTTGTACTGCGGCCACTTCTGGCCTATTGTACCAGCCCCAGATGATAGGTGAGGGTGATTGTGGAGCAATTGGTGGAATGAAGATTGGCAGGGGAAACCGAAGTACTCGGAGAAAACCTGCCCCAGCGCCACTTTGTCCACCACAAATCCCACTTGACCAGACCTGGGATCGAACCCGGGCCGCCGCGGTGGGAAGCCAGCTACTAACCGCTTGAACTATGGCGCGGACCTAAAATAACAAACTTACCTCCTTTTGGTATCGACATCCATATCGATACAGCTTCGATATGGGTCTCTTCCGGTTAACGAAGTGCATGTTCAGCTGCAAATAGACGATGTTTTCCGGTCCTGTCTTCAGTAATCAAAACGACATACGAAGATATGTAGAGTAAAGGCAATGTATATGACAACGAAATAATAATATGAACCAACTACGTACGAAACGTGCAACTACGACGTCTCTTCATGGGACGGAACTAAAGCGAGCAGATGCCTGCTACTGTCGTCGAGATCTGAGACTCTTTAGTGACTATTCAAGTCTAAACCAACACTGAAGGTCACGAAGTTTGTTACTTTCCCAGATTATAATTGGCGTGAAAAGTAAACTCGTGCGCCTATTGTGCTATCGCTGAGCCGCACGAATGTGGATTTAAGTCATGTAACCTTCAGTAATGATGAGAATCCAGCCACTACGCACGGCTGATGACAACCATTAACTGAACAATGCTACAAGTGCATAAAGTTACTCGTATAACGTCGTATCTATCTATCTGTCTGCCTGTCTGTTTATCTTCTGTCTGTCTGTCTACCTCTTTTCAGTTTTTAATCTTTGCACTGTCGCTAGGGCTCCTTGGACGGGGGATCGGCCCGTCGTAAGGCCGTTACCTACACACAGAACAACACAAACGCAGAATAAACGCACACACACACATCCATGTCTCGAGTGGGATTTGAACCCACGATCCCAGTGTTCGAGCGGATGAAGCCAGTTCATGCCTTAGACAGCGCGGCCATTGTGATCGGTATCAAGTAGAAGGTACTTTAAATAATGATGTGATATGAAAGGATAATTGAGGAGCTATTTCAAGGAAATAGCGGCTGCGCTCTAGAAAAGCGAAATTAACAGCCGTAGGGATTCGTTGCGCTGACTACGCGACACCCTCTATCCGCTAAAGTTTGCACTAACTTCGCCGACAGGCCGCGCCATAGCTCAAGCGGTTAGTCGCTGGCTTCCCACCGCTGCGGCCCGGGTTCGATCCCGGGTCTGGTCATGTCGGATTTGTGGCGGATTAAGTGGCGCTGGGGCGGGTTTTCTCCGAGTACTTCGATTTCCCCTGCCATTCCACCAAATTCTCCATCATCATAATCACCCGGGGCAGGCTACAATAGGCCAATCAGTGGCCGCCGTGCCGAGTGGACCCAGTTGGACTCCACCCCCATTAAGCGAATTAAAAAAAAAAACTTCGCCGACAAGCGGCGGTCGCTAGATCGGTATAGTTCGCTTTCGGATTAAAGCCACGGAGTTTTTTTTTTTTGGGCTATGAAAGAGCAGAGGAATACAGATCTCCATACGTTCTACATCTCAGCGCTACGGGCTATTATTCACCTCCGCACTTCGGGGAAAGCGGGCCCTATATAAATAGGGAAGATTGCTGGTAAGTATCACGACAAATAGGGGCTGATGGCGAAGAAAGAAATTCCAGTCATCCAGGCAGTAGCCAGTCACTTTACAGGGCCAACTACCCCGAATCTTAGTCAACCACACAAAGAACACTAAAAACATCCTTAACCTGTCCGGCCAAAAGCAAAACAGATACGAAGCCTAACAGTGGACAATGTGAAAAAGAATTTCAGGTAAAGATATCTTAGTTTAATCATTCACAAATAAGTATGTTATTATTATTATTATTATTATTATTATTATTATTATTATTATTATTATTATTATTATTATTATTATTATTATGACAGTGTTCCTTCCGTCATGAAATTATTATACAACCAAAATTTTAAGGAACGAAAAGTAGGGACAGGAAGGTGGGTATGCAGTACCGTAACCTTTGACCCAAATCTGAGAAATTCATAAAGAAACTCGGGTTTCCAAACATCTGAACGTCGTGGTGTAATGGTTATAAATCATAAATTCGTCTGTCTGCTCGAAGACTTATCTGAGTTTTGTCAAGGTCCTCCTAACAAGTGCAGAAATTATACCTTCAAAATAGATAATATCCGCTCCCATCCGAATCCATACCAATTCATAATTATGTTTCCGTTCTGAACTATAGAACATTCGCACTTGTCAACGCGGTATTAAATACACCAAGAAGCAACCAAGTTTTCAAATATCATAGATATGTTCTGTTTAGTGGATATGTGCCCACGCGACACCCTCTATCCGCTAAAGTTGGCACTAACTTAACCGACAAGCGGCGGTCGCTCGGTCGATATAGTTCGCTTGCGGACTACAGGCCACTAAGTTCTTAGTAGATATGTAAATTAAATAAAGTCAAAGTTGTGCTGGTGCTGTGTAGATGAATTACACGATGCTTGCAAAAACAGTATTCTAGCATTGCTCTGTCACATGGAATGTAGCTGTCAAGAGATATACCCGTATTTTGTATTCGGGAGGTAACAGATTTAAATTTCGGACTGGATACCGCTTAATCTGGCTGAGGTTTTTCGTAGTTTTCCTCACTCACTAACATAGTACCCAAATTAATTTAAAAATCGGTGCTTAACCCCAAGAAAACACACTAGGCCTAATATAAACACCATGGAGTGGGTCTAGACTCATTCTTGAGAAGCTTATAGCCAATCAGCAATCAAGATACTTCCCGCCTGTTGTAGAATCATTAGGTTCATTACCGTGCTGTTGTGAAACAGCCTGCCACTGAATCCTATTCTGAGCTAAATTAATCTAGTCTGTTAACTCCAACACAATTTCAAGATCCATTTTAATATTATTTTTCCATCTACGCCTATGTCTTCAAAATCTCTTCCATTCAGGTTTTCTAGCCAAAATTCTGCACCCATTTCCGATATCTCTTATGCGTACTACGTACCCTGCCCACCTCATCTGTAACTTGATCATCATAATAACGTTTGGTGAAACACGCAAACTATGGCGCTACTCATTATGCAGTTGGAGCCTGGATACATCAGTCTGTATAGAAACCATGCTAGGGGATGGACGCCCAGGAGTCAGGGTTCGATTCCCAGAAGGGCCAACAGGCTTCTCTGTTCTTCATAATTTCCAGACCGGCCCTGGGTCCAACTGAGCCTCTTACACAATTGGTACTAGGTGCTGTTTCCCCAAATGCAAAGCGGCAGAAGCGTGATACTGACCACTCACCTCCGGCTACCTCACATGTCTTCATGGTGTGATGCAAAATTACTTAAGCCCCAGGATTACTTTAGCTTTACCTCATTATGCAGTTTTCCTACTAACCGATCACTTTCTGCCTTTTGGGTCAAAATATACCGAGTCGGCACAGCGACGGGTTATGGGATGGATGGCCAGGGATCCAGTCCCTGCAGGAGTAAGATTTTTCTCTTCTCCATAGCGTTCAGATTGGTTCTGGGGCTCACCTAGCCTCCTACCCAATGGACACCGGGGTCTCTTTCCTCAGGGTTAAAACATCCGGATCGTGAAGCTGACCACTCACCTCCATCTAGTGTAGAAGTCAAGAACAGTACAGCTATACCTCCACTACTCCATGCATCTTTATGGCACAGTGATTAATTAAGTAATGACAGGGAGAACTTTATTTTTTTTATCTTTTAGGCGAAAATATTCTCTTTAACACCCAATTCTCGAACCTCAACCTGTGTGCTTCCTTTAGCGAGACACAAGTGTGAGTTTCACACCCATACAAGACTACAGCTAAAATTATAGTTTTTGTATATTAAGAAGATAGGTAGGTAATAATGTTTAGGGAAGAAACTGCAATGTGTTCTGAGGGGCAAACGAAACTGTTCTTTGAGTGTAATGCCGAGCTACTGAACAATGTTGCAGGTATGCTGTTCCACCTGCCCAATAAGGACTGGGGCTTAACAAAAGTGCTTATGCATATTTAATATACAGTAGAACGCCGATTATCTGAATTGGCAATTAACCAAATCACCACAACCAAGGAATGTGTCTGTTAAACAAATATCATTGTTTGTTTCTTTTTTCAAATAGTGTTAGAAAATGTTAATTTATAATTATATTTATTAATTTTTCATATTTCACCTGTTTTAAAGTGTTTTTTTTTTCGTTTTTATTATTATAATAGTATAGTACATTATAACAGCGTCACAGTAGTATTTTTATGGATAAAAATTGAATCCAATTATCGGAATTTTCCATTTTCCAAGCCACCCTTGTTACTAATTGATTCGGATAATCGCCGTTCTGCGGGTATCTTGCACCAACACCAACCAGACATGAAAATTCAGTGTCTTGTTCATTCGCCGATTATTAGTTTACTTGGATATGTTAATGTTCACAAGCAGACATAAATCGTATCTTACCAAGCACTAGCAATGAAAGTCGTCTGCTGCTTCAAATCCAATAACGCCTTGGTAAATCGGCAGTAATGAACCGGTTCCTCAGACTCCAAAGAACAAGGGAAATACTACAAGAAAAAATCAGCAAGTCACTAATTTGGATTCATATAACGCTACACTTTCGTGTATACCCTTTCATCTCTTTTGAATATAAAGGCACTCCACTGTCCAGCCATCGTTTCAAAATGATTCACATATTTTTGATCACATGGTCACATTGCTATACCAAAATATCGATCAGCTGTGAACAGGTCCAAAGATGACCTGCATAACAGATTCGATACTTCGCGAATCTAATTCCTACGATAACCACCAGAATGCGCAAAATTGGAACGTTTTTTATCTCTGTGATCTTGGGACTGGACGTAGAATTATCTTTGGTGATGATGCTGTATGAACCGTGGTAGCCGAACATTTTTAAAACGTCGGCGAAAATTTCAACGTGTAATTGTTCAGAACAAACTTAGTCAAAAGCTCCGAACCTCAGTAACTAGAAAAATTCTGGGAAGTCAGTTACTTTTATACTAAAATTTTCACTACGTGGTGCTGCTTTCCAGAGAAATGCCCTCGTCAAAGGTTGTCTACAAAGACAAACTTCTTCAAAAATATCCACTCTCCCCCTTTCTTCAACTGGCAACAGTGCATCACAATGACCATTGTCTAGTTTACCAGTAGACAACAGAGGGACTACATTTCTCCCAGTCACAAGTTGACCAGCTATATGAGTCCATGATATGTATGTACGCTCTGTCTTGTAGTGCACTCAGTCTCACATGTCACTTCACTACATGTTTCGGCATCACTGTGCCATCCTCAGGTGTGTTATTTACGTCAAGCTATTGCATTGCTCGCCATCATGTATCGTTTATAAAATTATATAAAATGCACACTCTTCGCTAACTATAATAAAATTTATATATATCAAAATTTGTTAATATCCATTATCTTGCGCGAATTTGAGTTAAGACGTTTAAGATAATGGATATTAACAAATTTTGATATATATAAATTTTATTATAGTTAGCGAAGAGTGTGCATTTTATATAATTTTATAAACGATACATGATGGCGAGCAATGCAATAGCTTGACGTAAATAACACACCTGAGGATGGCACAGTGATGCCGAAACATGTAGTGAAGTGACATGTGAGATTGAGTGCACTACAAGACGGACAATACATACATATCATGGACGAAAATCAGTGCAACAGGACGCTAAAATACAACAGCTATATGAGTCAATGGATTAGTGATTTGGACGTTAGTTACAAAATAAACACAGACAAATCGACACACCATTTTTCCCATGCACATTTGTGCTTTAATACACAGCTGCACTTTATTCTGAATCAGAAGTTTGAGATGGTTTGCACCAGTACTGGAAACTTCAAAAATAATTCCTGGCAAATAAACCTGGCACAGTCAGGTAATCTTAATCCGGTGGATCCAGTATCCAAATCCTGTCTGTAGTCACTCATACACATGACAATACGTTCTCCAGCTTGCTATTGTATTTCTGAATTGTAGGTGATATTATATTCTTGGTTGTATAGTACCTTTTATCTACTCTTCTTCTTTTTCTTCCTCAACTTTCACTAATTGCAACCTGTGACTTGTGCCACATTCATAAATAATACATAATTCTTAGACATTTGGCAGGAATCTTTGTGTGGGGGATGAGCCCACAGCATTTTGAAGGATTCATACACAATTTATATAAAAAAAGAAAAACTTGTTCTTGCTCAGTGCAATGCTTCAAGGATAGCTGCATTACACTATCAGAAACAGAAGTCTTTAAGATTGGTGTACAATGTATTACGACATGGAATGAGGCCATTGTCAGGACCACCAGCGTGAAAAAAATTGTACGAATATTTAAGAAGGAACCTGCTGGTTCCTCTGAATTATTAGTATTGCTACCAGGCTGCAAAGGCCAGGCCACAGCTCAAGAGGTTAATTGCTGGCTTCCCACCGTGGCAGCCCGGGTTCAATCCCGGGACTGGTCAAGTGGGATTTGTGGTGGACAAAGTGGCTCTGGGGCAAGAGTTTTCTCAGAGTACTTCGGTTTTCCCTGCCAATCTTCATTCCACCAATTGCTCCACAATCATCCCCACCTATCATCTGGGGCTGGTACAACAGGCCAGAAGTGGCCGCAGTACAAGGGATTTAGTCCCACCCCACTAGCAATAAAGAAATAAAGAATAATCAGGACCCGATTGAATTGATATATACTTTTCGTGATCAGTAAACGAAGTTCCCAATATTTCATTATTTCAAATTCTGAAACGTCATAAATGGCAGATTTACACAAACTGTGGCACTAATTACATACATTAAAGCCTATTGCATTTAGAGCTAGATCTTAATTCCTTCGGTAAAATTTTAAAATATATTATTAAAAAGTAAAATTTTATAAAAATGAAGGCTAGTACATTATTATAATGTAATGTCATCTAAGAATGATTATGCATATTGTATTTTGTAATTGGTTTCTTGCTGTTTTCCTCTTTTGTTTTGTTCAACTCACCCCACTCAGTGGTTATATAGCCACAAATGCCAATGAAGAAGAAAGCTAACAGGATGTAGATTTTGGTGCTGATACACAGGCAAGGACTGTAAGCATATGCCGAGATGAATCCCATGGAGAGCCACACTCTGAGTTTCTGTATGCTACCTTTTCATTCCCAGGGAAGAGCATGCCACACAGAGCTGCAAAACGAGTCACACAGCTCAAACAGCATATGTGCTGCTTTCTTATAGTCAGGGAAGGAAATAATCGAATAAAATAAGCATTACTTTTATGTTTGGTACAGCTGACCTCATTTAAAATGTTTTCATTAGCTAAGATGATAAACAATTATGATATTATACATGATACCATAAGCAATTATTTGAAGTTTCATCAGTTTAAAAGATGACAAAATTGTTTCTTAAGTCAGTATTATTATATATACAAAGCAATTCTCTTACAGTACAGAATACTGTCTTCTGGGATGTGACACTATATACTTTGGTAATGTTTACTAAGTTCTCATTAGAATATAATGCATTCAGTTTCAGGGTGAACAATGGAAGTTGTATGTTCCTCTGAAACGATGGTAAATATAGATACTAGAAGGTTCTGTCAATGGTGTATAACACTCAGAGTAACTGTGTTGTCAGATTTTAACCATCCTCTGGTATTCTAAAAACTAGAAAAAACAATGTTTCAGAAACTGGAAAGAGAGTAGGTGTCTCTCCCTTCACCTGAGGATGGAAACAGATCCAATTTCCGAAATGTTTTGTTTTCTACTTGTTAGAATCCCAGACAATGGACAAAGTCTGAAAACCTGGTAACTCTGTGATGGTAAATATCTACCTGAATATATGCATCACATCACAGAAGACATGCAAAATCAACTGGTCACTACAAACAAAGATAATAAACATTAGATTCATTTCAGTACATTTTGTTAAAATGAAAGCCACATATATAACTTGAGTATGTCTGTATTTGAACAACCTTTTCGAGAATTATTAACAAATTTCAACTAAAATTTGATAATTTTAATTGTAAATTAATTCTTAGTTTGCAAATACTTTATCAAGCAGTGAACTTGTATGAGTATTTCTCACATAAGTAAGTACATAAGAAAACAATTTGACATTATTTTCCTCCAAGAATTTGTCCACTTACATTCATTACACATATGAGATTAACCATTTCTCGTAACTTATACTTTGTATTACGATGATAACACAAAAAAACAGAACTGTTACAAATTTTCTTGAGCTTACTAGATTGGCTATATGAAAGATGGAAGATGCAAAGGGGGCTGTTGTGTTTAGTAGGCAAGGAAATAAAAATGTGAAAAGAGAGTATATTGTCAATAAGCAAATTTATAAGTTTAATTTCGATCAATGAACTATGAATCGGCTCACAACCACATAATAGAAGAAGGGTTAACTATATTACTGACCAGTCTGAAGAAACATGAACTGAAAATCTGACTTTGTATGGGTGCTGCTGTTGGAATTGAAGTCCATAATATGATATGTTTTGTAAGATTTGAGGCTTTCACGGCAGTGACTATGAAAAAGCAGTCTTCTGGGATTTGGCACCGTGTATATGTGGTGTTAACCGACGTTTCGGAGGAACGTATCGCCTCCATCTTCAGGGTAGAAGAAAAAATATAAGAAATCTGCAAGCGAAGAGACCGTGAGAAGCGGTAAAAGCTTTTACCGGTGGTTAACACCACATATACATGGTGCCAAATCCCAGAAGACTGCTTTCTTCATGATATGCTGAATCTGTCATAGGTATGCCACGGGAATGCAAAAGATATTTTAAAAATGGTAAACATTTATGAGTTTTACATTAATATTGTATTGACTACAGAGGTTATTTTGTGTCTAATTTGATATACAGAGAAATACAAAAACTGGAAGTCATGGCTTACTTCAAGGCACCATTTTGGCATTTGACTACAGATACTGAAGGGACTATTTCAAGACAATTTCCTCTGAGAAAACTTTATAAACATCTGTCCTGATGGCAACCTAGATGAGATTAAAATTGGGTTCCTTCCAAATACAGGATAGCTGTATTACAGTTATATTAACTTGACTGGTAGTCAACTTCCATGCACCTGTACTTACTACTGTGAATTCTGAACCCCTGAAGACTTGCCACAATCCAAGCCATGCTGTGACTGGAAGCAGTAATAACTGTTTCTGGTTCTTCAGCAGTTTGAATGTTAAAAGCAGCAACTGTACCCCATTTACTCACATACCGCTACCTACACGACCAGCCTCATTATACCTGAAATATCACCATAAAAACATTTAAACTAAAAAAAAAAATAGATATCACATCTCAGAGCTTGTTTTGTGTCCCATAATACCAGATTGAGGATAACTAAAAATATTATATTCTTATAACTATTTTTTATTTCACATATGAGCCCTCTCACAGCAAACCCTAGTGCTGTAGTCTAGCATAACAAGAATTAAACAACAGAGTTTTCTCCACCAAAGGCAATAAGGAAAAAGAATTGGAAATAAAATATTTTTTATAATTGTGTCATATCTTAACCTATAATTGAATCACATGTACTGGAAAACTGACTTATATGTATTTAGTAGATCTCTCAGGACTGGTCTACCAGACTCATCTTACCAGCTTGCTCAGTCCATTTGAGAGAAAGGATTATATGTGCCATTGCATTTAGCCTTGTTAATCCAAAGTTCTGAATATGAATTCAAGCTACATTTGTCACTGGGC